ACTCGGTGCTATTTACTAGTACAATATTTTTCATTGATTAATGAAGAAAAAGATAAATTCGTGTAAAATGAATTATTTCCAGAACTCTCGATTGATAAACAAAAACAAATTGTATTTTTCGTTAAGACAAAGTAAGAAAAAATAAAAAATGAAGATGACATAGGGAACACAATGTTCATCATCGAAATCCTTCATTTTTAGTACCTATTTGTGAGTTTTGATGTGCAAATAAATTGTCGTTTACAGCTCCAACAACTATATTTATGGATTTTATTCACTTTTTTTTATTTCTTTAAAATTTATATAGTTTATACTTTTATATCACGCATGCTTAGAGTAGCTATAATTTGAGTTGAAAAACAATATTTGTAAATTTAATGGTATTTGAACTTGAATCTTACTTATTAAAAAAAAATTAAAATTTTTATGAATGAAAACAAATACTCCACTTGAAAAAAAACACTTCAAAGTGGCATAATCACACATTACTAAAAATTATTTTGTATTATTTTTCCGTTAAAATTTCTCATTAAAAGATGTTTGGTACGGTGGTTATTTCAACATATATCTTGATAGAAAAATAGTACGAATAATATAAAATTAGGAATCTTTCCTTTATTTCTAAAGAAATATGTTTCTCATCATTCATTTTTTCAATAAACTGGTTAGATGGAAAAATATTGTTTTATAACACATCTTATTCTAATAGTGATCGACATTACAAACAATAAAAAAAGATTATTTTTAAAAAAAATACAACAAGACCTAGCTAGTAAGATTAAACAAGATTATTGAATACTCCCTAGTAGAGGCTAGAGGGTGAGTGAGGTCATTATATTCCAATGGGATAGTCAAATAGTCTACCCATTGTTTAAAACTTTATTTAATCTCACCTAGATTAAGAAACAATGATTTTTGTGGCTTAAATTAATTAGTAGTATAGGTTTTGTACCCTTCAAGTACAATAAACTTTAACGTGGAATCTTAAAACTCTTCATGGAGTATTTTTTTAAATACCTAATACTTGTGAATTTAAAAAGACTTTATTTATATTTTAAGATATACTATTAAAGAAATTAGATTCGCTCATTAATTTTGTTAATCAAAATTGTACATGCACGAATTAATGGGAACTTTATAGTACTAATTAGCCAAAAAGCAAAAAAAGGATCTAAATAGGTGATGCAATGGTTCGATCAAAAAGAGAAAGAGGATAACGAAGTGATGCCAGCATACAGGGCCGTCTCAACCATAAGGCCACTAAAACAATCGCTTGGGGCCCCTATTTTCTCCCAAAGATGTATATATATTGTTAACAAAAATTTCATGTATTGATAAATTTGAAGAATTTTTTTTTTGAATAGAAAATATAATTGAGAAATTGAATATTGTTAGTTGATTGTGGTATCTTTCCTAGATTCTTATGTGGCTAGTTAGTTGTAGTATCCTTTCTAGTTTCGCATGTGGCTATCTATTTTATTGTCTAGCTCATTTATATTCTGACGATTATCATGAACCAACAATATTGTGTTCTTATACTTCTCTTTATTCTCCTTTCGCTATTTTTTATTCTTTCATTATTGAATATTGTGAAGTCTCTCAAATGTTCAAGCATTCTACATTATGTAAAATCTATTGTTGTGTGTTTATAAAAAGATCAAATTTGTTTTTGGCGTCTTATTCAAATTTAAAGCACTAAAACTAATCAACACTATTTTAATATTATTTATCAACTTATCAAATTCATCGCAATACTATTTTAATATCATCATATTTTTAAAAAATTTGAGTCATGTTTTATTATTTTTACTTTATATTACATAATTTTCATTGAAAATTTACATTATTTGCATTCTTATTTCATAATGTCTACATATATCCTGTCTCTCCAGACCTCATTTGTAGGATTACACTAAATATGTTATAATTATTCAATTTATATTTGTCAACTAAAAATAATAGTGCCTCTTTATAAAATTTGGCTTTAGGCCCCCAAACTTATTGAGACGGCTCTGCCAGCATAGTTCTATCCTTTTATTTTACAAAAGGGTGATAGATACGCATTGATGTGTTGATTGAAATTTCTTTGTTCCGATATAAGTATGGAAGAATAATTTTTTTTTATTGAGAGTGGCGCCTTAATGCAATAGACACTAAACCTTTTATTTATCACAATTTACATCATTACAAACCTTGCATCTTCTGAATATCCACATAGGCCTATAGTTCATCATTTCGAGTGCTTTTAAAAAAAAAAAAAATGTAAGAGACAAAAAACTTTATGCATTTGGTAAATATCAAATTTTATAAAACATAATTTATTGAAATTATATAATATATATATATATATATATATATTAATTAATTAAATAAACTTCTTAGTAAAATGTTTATTAAACTTATCCAATTTAGTGAAATTTTGATCTATTCAGTTTTTTCACATTATCTATTAGTTTTTATCCAATAAATGTATATCTCTTCTTTCTTTTTTTAATGTTACACTCTGTTAGTTGATTTCTCCTATAAATTGAATAATAACTAGAAGATATAATAATTTTCAGAAATATAAATATGATACTATTTTATTCTTTGTTTAGTTGAAGGTATTAGACAATTGTTGATATCTATCCTATCATTTATACCTTATAATCAGTGGCGGAGCTACGATTTTAATAAGGGGGTTCAATATCTGAAGAACCAAACACATGAACTAATCAAAGGGGGTTCAACATCTATTATATAAGCATAAAAAAATAATTTTAACTATATATAAATAGTAAAAAAATTCGCTAAAGAAAATTCAAATGAATCCCTAACAGAAGGTTGGCTCCTCCCCTGCTTATAATAACCTAACCTAAATTAATTTATTCCGAATCAAACGAACCATACCAGTTCAAAATAGGGCTTATAATATAGTACTGTACTTAGGGATACTATGACCACAAATTTAAAGCCACGAGTTGTGTACTAGATCACCACCAAAAAATAATGAATCATTGAAACCAATGACCCTCTTTCTGCATATTGCACTCACTGCCTTGGACCACGTACTGCTCACAGTGGATCTTTAGTAGTATCCCTCCGTCTCATTTTATGTGGCATTTTTTGAATTTTGAGATTTAAATAAATTTATTTTTTACGGTAAGTTATTTATAGATTTTTTAAATATTTTAAATTATCAATTATTGGAACTTATGATACTTTTTTATGTAGTTTACAAATATATAACTTTATTTTAAAAAAATGAAGATTTCATGCGTAAATTTCCGATCAAACTTAAACTGTTTGATTCTCGAAAAACAAAAAATATTACATAAACTGGGACAAAAAGAGTAGTAATTATTATTCTCGATGCTTCAATTTATTTTATCTAATTTTAATTTGATACAAAATTTAATAAAAATAAAAATAATTTTTGAATCAAGTAATCTTGAAGTAAACTTGTGTGTGGACATGCAATATAATATCTCACAAAGCAAATGATTATAAAAAAATCATAAATTTTACGTATTTCTACTACCACATCCATAAAGATACCCAATTCAACAAATGTACTATATTACTCATGTAAAGCAAAAATAATTATATCATCTTTGAAGTCGTGATCATCATCATGGAATATGGATTGGAGTATTATGCCTCTAAAGAAGGACTTGACATATATGAAAAAAAATCAATTTATAATTTTTTATTTTAAAATACAAAATTATGTCAACACTCCTTCTATTCCATATTAATTGAATTTTTAAGGGTTTTTTTTCATTGCTCAATAATTGAATTGTTCAAAGTTCAAGATAGATGTTTGAATTTATTTTTTTGTTCTTTGTGAACAAAATAATTTAAATTATATCGTAAATATTTTTCATAATAAATATGCATTGCCTTACAAATTCAACAAATATTAAATTGAGGAAGTATAATTAAACTTTAAATAATCAATCTAAATTCCAAAATAAAAAAATGTGACAAGTAATTTATGGAGAGGCAAAAAAGTGGCGTGCGTCTTGACTTACAATTAGTGTGTTTGAAACTGAAAGGAACAAAAAAATGTTCACGTTTTTATCATTTAATGAAATGCTTAGCTCGTGAATGCACATCAAATCACTCTTTTTTTGGGTAACTAAACTTTTGTACAAATCATCAACTCGTTGAGTATATTAAAAATTATTATTTTTAACTTTGTCAAATATTTTTTAATTTATTTTGAGTTATTTTTATATTTGTCAAACATTTCTAAAAATAAAAAGCTAACTTAAAAATAAATTTGACAAACTTTTAAACCAATCCAAACATCCTCGATCCTAAGCTAAATGGTCTGTTATGTCAAGTAAAATCCATTATAACACAAGCTAATAAACTTTTGTCACATTAGATCTTTACCAACCTTCAACTCGCTGTTGGATTTTAGTTGAGAATTACCTAAGATTAAAAAGAATAGACACTTCCTATTATACCCACTACCATATACAACCAACCAACCAATATATAGATGTGACACTTTAACAGCAGCATAATCCAACAAACAATCCTCAACCTTTAAATATAAGACAAGTAAAAAAGAAATCATGATTCATAAAAGTTTACTTCACCAAACTCACCCTTTTCACTTACCTCAATCTCAAAGGGGATAAGATGTATCCGCCTTCCATCTTAATTTATGTGATGTAATTTAATTTAATACGACAAACAAGATCGCAACTTGCAAGTGTAATATATACACTACTATATATGTTAGTACTATTTGTTCCTAATTACTTGTCAACTTTTAAATTAACACACCTATTAAGAAAATAATTATTTACATAGTAAATTTATTATTTTACCCCTATTAATTATAAAGTAAATGACTAAAAAATTAAGATTTTCAAGAAATTCTACCTTTTTCAAAGTAATTAATTGAGGGTATGATAGGTAAAATTATTTTGTCCTTTGTTGATTTGTCAAAATTGACAAGTAATTAGAGATAACTATAATAAAAAAAAAAAAGAACAAATAATTAGGGACAGGGGGAGTATTATATAATAAGAAGATTATATAATTAAAAAACCCATGAAAAAGGTACAAAGTGCTCACAAAATTCTCTAGTCTTTTTGGCTGCAAGGCCCCAACAGACAGGGCCACATGTAGAGCACAACCATAAACAACAACTTAAGAGAAATGGCCATGGACATTTCCCATGTGACCATAACTCCATTCTTTCCACATATACCCTTTTCATGTTCTTCCTAATTTACATCACAGAACATGCATTGGGGTTCTCATCACTAAACATTTGTGGAGGGTAAGGATTATACATCTCATGTGACGCATATGTTTGAGGGTAAAGATGGTAATTTGGCTGCTGTGGGTAATAGTAGTAAAACTCATTCTTCTTCATTTCTAGTTTTGGGTCTTCTTCTTGAACACCAACCTCTTTATTTGCAGCTCCTTCCGAAGGAGCTGCAGCAGTGACGGCGGAGGCACTGTCTCCGCCGTTAGCCTTTTTCTCTTCTTCCTCGGCTTTTTTCGCGTCTTTTTCACCTTCCTCTGTTTTCTTCTCTTCTTTAGGTTTCTCCTCTCCTTTCTTTTCTGGTTCTACTTTCACTATAACTGCCCTTTTCCCTGTTCTCCTGCTTACATAATCCACCAGCTGTGTTGCCTCAAAAATCCCTTTTACTGACACTTGTGAGTTCTTTAAATCTGGCTCTGCATTCTCCACACCTTTAAACCAAAAAAAAATAATCAAGATTTTCAAATTTTAGACAACAGATTCTAAAGACTCCTCAATTAATTTAACAAAATGTATTTGTATTTGAAAAGAATCTAAAGGAATGATTATATTATTCTTAATTAAAGACTACAGAGAATATAGAATCCTTAAAAAATTAAAGTACTTATTATAGAGATCCGAAAAAGGGAAAGAAAAAAGAAAGATTTTTGTAAGCAAAAAAAATAAACCTTTCATTTTCTGTATACGCCTTTTGATTTCTTGAGAACAAGCTTCACAATGCATGTGAACTTTCAGAACTACAGTAATCACTTGAGGAGGCTACAGAAACAAAAACAAATATATCATATTTAATCAAATTTGCCTAAAAAACAAACAATCAAACAAAAACCCAGAAAGGAAAAAGACTAAAGAGAGGAAAAGTATCATAAAAAGAAACAAAAACTCGCGTGAGAATCCATAAATTAAAAAAAAAAAAAAGGCGAGATTAAATTAATTAAATAAACCTCCTCTTTTTTCTCTTCTGGTTTAACAACTTCTTTCTCTTCCGGCTTCTTAGCCTCTTCCGCCGGCGGTTTTGGGATCGGAGACAGAAGCTCAACTTTACGGTGGCTCTTTTTTTGAACTCTTTCAAGAACCTTCAATGGATCTGCTTTTTCCCCTTTCACCACCACTTTATGACTCTTACAATCCGTTAAAACATCCTCAACTCCTACATAAATAAATAAATTTCCAAATTTTTCAAACACCCAAAAAAAAACAGAGTATGTTAAGTCTTTAAAATTCAACATTACCTTGAAATCCTTTAAGTGATTTACGAACTTTACGAGCACATCCTTCACAATGCATGTAAACTCTCAAAACAATTTCTTGAGGCGGCGGTGGAGGAGCCGGTGCTTCCTCGGTTTTCTTCTCCTCTGTTTTTTCATCACTTTTTGGAGCATCCTCTTTCTTCTCTCCCTCTGTTTTCTTCACTTCTTCTGCAGGTTTCTTCTCTTCCTAAAAACCCAAAAACAAAAATCAGAAACCTCAAGCAAGAAAATGAAGAAGAAAGTGGAGTTTCGCAAAGCAGAGCAAAAGCAAACCTCGCCCATTGATGTTCTTGGATAAGCTTATGCAGAGAGAGACTCAACTCAGAACTCAGAACTCAGAACTCAGTTTGTTTTTCTCTCTCTTTTTGTTTATGTTATGGTGAGTGTTGTTATTCTCAAGAAAAGGTTAATAGTGATGACAACAGAGATTATCTACAAGGCGCTCACTCACTAGTCACTTGCTTTTTATCCCACATCGATGCACAACTGGCGTAGCTTTCATATATAAAAGGGTTGGCACGTGCGAAGGACACTAACCTTATACCACTATTCCAGAATATTACAGCGTTTCTAATTTGGTGTTCTTTGTGTGGTGCTAGTTACGTGTTCATGTTTCTCACTACAACATTTATTTATATTTCTAGTGGATTTTGATTTATTTATTTTTCCTTTCATTTTCTAGTTTATATTAATATACTTTTACCTCCGTTTGATATTTTGAAGTTATGGTGTTTGAAAAATTAAAAATCTAAAAATTAGGCTAAGTTAGTCTTTGAGAATTAAAATATATTAGAAGATAAAAGATTTGGTCAAATTTCATAGTCAAATAAATATTTGAAGATTAAATTTTTTAAATTTGGTCAAATAAATATTTGGAGATGATTTTTAGAAGTCACTCTTAAAATAATGTTCAAACGCTAGTTTAAATTATCTAGAACTAAATTTTCATAGTTTTGGGAAATAATAATAATTATATTTGTCCTTATTATTTGAAATTGAGTAACTTTAATGATTTTTAACAATATTATTTGATGAATCGCTTGAATGTCAAATATTTTTCTATGATCAACTCGATATTGTCATCACTTGTAAGATAAGTGCGTGAATATATTTCATAGAACTGTTCTAACAAAAGCGCATCTCAGAAGCAATTTTTCAAACTCTTGATTCTTAAAGAAAATTGTAATATCCGATAATATGTTTAGGCTATAGTAAAAAATTGAATGACAAATTTAGATTAATATTTATTTTTTTAGAAATTTGGGCAAGTAAAATATATTAATTTTAGACGTTGATAGTTCTTATAATTGTATAATATAATTTGAACGATATAAAGGCGAATATAAAATTATTTACTTGTATATTGTAGATAAAAATCAAAGAATTTTAAATAGTACTTTTTCCGTCCAACAATAGTTGTTCAGTATACTATTTTAAGATGTCCAACAATACTTGTCAACTTTATGAAATTAATGGATAATTTGAGACTTAGTTCCTAATTACCATTATCATTAATTATATTACTTCTCTATTCTATTTTTCAAAACATTGTATGTATTATATTCAAAGGGTGACGTAGTAAAATTATTTTTCTATGTATAATTTCTTAAAAAGTGCGCAGAATAAATAATTGACAAATATTGTTAGACAGCTGGAGTACTTAGGACTTCTAAAGGTATCACAAATTTTAAATAGTTTTCCTAATTTTGACATAAAAAATATATATGTGATTCATCAAATATAATTGGCACGGATATTTACAGCATTTGGTACGTTTATGATGCGGGAAAATGTAGCCAAATTCAATGGATGCACCTTGTCGATGTCAAAAATCATTGGACTCAAGAAAGTTTTGTGTGATTGTGTATTTTTTTTTTTATATATATATATTTTCTTTTGGGAGGGGGAACGTTGTTTAAAGTGAAAGAAAATAAATTATAATCACAAAAAAATATGAAAGAAATACAACTTTATTCATCAAGATTGTGAGTACAAATTTGTTAATCCATTAATTCTACTCTCCTATGATTTATCCATAATTCGAGGGCCGTTAGTGACATATTTCTCGAACTAAGATGATTTGGATGATCTCTTTATGAATATTCCATAAATTTACGAAATATTCGATATTTCAATCTCTTTATGTAATTTTTGAGATGCACTGATATTTTAGGAGTCATCTAAAAAAACCATTCCATGGTCAACACAAAGTTTTACTAATTTAAATTCACACATTTTAAAACTATTTATAAGATAACATTCTTGATAAAAACAATTCAAAATTTTGAATTAAAGAAGAAATCTTAATTATTTCATCACGATTCGGTGGACTCATGTGCTATTTAATTAAAGTAGTAAATATAGTTATTCAAAAACTACAACTGAATTGAAGTGGACCACTAGATAGATTTCTTATATGATTATCAATTGGATTGTCTCATTCATGTTAGGATTAGGCAAAGTATCCAGAGTTAAAAATGTAATTTGACTCTCATATTGTATTAATAGCAAAGCAATATTAAGTACTCACAAATTCTCTATTTTAAATTATGTGGTATTTTCCGTTTTTAGAATTCTTAATTATATAAATTCAGAATAGTTTTTTTAAAGAAGTATCATTTCATTGTATTGATATGAGAAAATTTGAACTTATAGTATTTTTTTATATAATTATTAAATATTTAAAATATAATTTAAAAATGTTAAATTAATCTAGCCTATTTTAGCTTGAAAAATTAGTCAAATAGCATTTCAGAAATTAAAAAATATATATAAATTGAAATAGAATGAGTAACATTTTGATAATTTAGTACTTTGACCATATTAAAAGTTGTAAAACAGAATAATGTTAAACATTTTAGGATTATGTTTAGACTTCACTTTTTTCAAAAAATAAAATAAAATGAAAATCATAGTTTGAAAATTTGTGTAATTTTTTATAATCAAACATTGATTTCAAATCAAAAACTTGAAATCGTAATCTCAAATCACATGCCAAATGTCTACTCCAAGTAGTGTTCTTTTTACTTCGTTTTTTTTCTCCTTTTGTTATCTCCTTATCAATTTCAAATCTCATATGAATTGATATTTTGTTTCTTCCCCCTTTTGTTATCTACGTATCCTTAGTATTTAAATGTCTATCATAAAAGTAGAAAAATGATGTGAGAAGTAAGAAAAAGTTAATGAGATAGCTAGTCAAATTTTATTTTTTACAATACAAAAGAGCCTAATAAATGGGAGTTGCCTCAAACTTATATGAAGTCTGAGATGACAGGCACTGTACAAAAGCCCATGTGGGCTGAAACTAAGTTATTACCCTCATCAACAGGCACTTCTTCCTAGTGGGCCCACCAATAAAGTATCGTGATTTTAACTTAGGAAAAATGATCAAAAATACTCCTTAACTTTGATTTATTAGTTGATTATATCTTTATCGTTAAAATGAAGTTATTCTTATCCATATCCTCTGTTGAAAATATCAATTAGGTTATCCAAATTACTTTATATGTATACTATTTGTAGAATTTCATTGCTTCCATGTGTTTCACCTCTTTATATTGTAATTTTTTCTGGTCAAGATCTTGACTCAACATTGGAGTAATTATAATATTATCATGCCTTTATTTTCCCTATACAAAAATATATTATTAATTAGAAAATAAAAAATAAAATAATGTTAATATTTCTTGTAAATATATTAAAAGAAAATAATTTCACATAAAATAAAATAAAATAAAATCAGGGTAAAGTAAATGACTTACTCCTAACTTTGCCCATTCAGGTAAAATATAAATGCGAATAATCGTGCAGATTTTATGTTATGCCATGTGTATATAGTGGTCCATATAGATTTTACAAGTTTTATTATTGACATAAATTTATGCACTGGGAGGTACCTGCAAACAAATGTATTTTGTTAATTTAAGGGGACCACTTAGTCTCAATCTGTATATTAATAATAAATTATTTGGTCCAAAAGTTTGTCAATTTTCTGAAACAATTATACTCTTCTGGGATCCATAGACACATTCATATTAAAATTTAATGCAAGTATATATATAATACTAAATAATATTTTGAAATCCACTAGGCAGTAGGCACTAGATGATCAAGGTATATAAAATTAACCATGTAGAATTACTATGTACAAAAGTTAATTTATTTTTCATATATTACCTGGAATAATTAACAAAATTTCTAACTTTGTCTTTGTCGATCAATAACAATGATACATGTATATTGTATTGTATGCTCGTTTGTTTGATTTGAGACACTAATCAGATAATAATTAGGATATAGTGATGATTAAAAATGTATGTTAACATAACACGTCTTTACAAGAGTATTATTGGAGACAATGCATGAGAATGATATGTTACTAGTTTTAACACAATGCTTAAACAGAATGAATTACGCAACCGAATATATATTAACAATTTACGCAAGCCAAGCGTGCTTATCTAGCTATTAATATAACAGGTAACTGTTCGGATCAATCGTTTATCATCGTGTATCAAAAGTTATAGTTTATAGCAATAGCGCAACTTTATTAATTTTTTAACTAATTAAGCTCAACGGGTGGCATTAATGAATAATCCCACTCTCAACACACTTGTCCCATTGCAATTTGTTTCTCTTAGTAATCGAACGCATAAAACTATTTGTTAGGATAAATCAAACACTTATCATCATGTTAAAAAATATACTTGATAGCAGAAGTGCATGCAATTTTACTTCATACACTCACTAAACAAATATCGTGTTTGATCATTACTTCGATCCAAGCCACATAACCTCCTCATGAGCCTTTTTTCTTATAAGAAGAATACTTGCGTTACTCAAGAGCAAGTAATTATGCAGGGGGGGGGGGGGGGGGGGGGGGGGGGGGGGGGGGGGGGGGGGGGGGGGGGGGGGGGGGGGGGGGGGGGGGGGGGGGGGGGGGGGGGGGGGGGGGGGGGGGGGGGGGGGGGGGGGGGGGGGGGGGGGGGGGGGGGGGGGGGGGGGGGGGGGGGGGGGGGGGGGGGGGGGGGGGGGGGGGGGGGGGGGGGGGGGGGGGGGGGGGGGGGGGGGGGGGGGGGGGGGGGGGGGGGGGGGGGGGGGGGGGGGGGGGGGGGGGGGGGGGGGGGGGGGGGGGGGGGGGGGGGGGGGGGGGGGGGGGGGGGGGGGGGGGGGGGGGGGGGGGGGGGGGGGGGGGGGGGGGGGGGGGGGGGGGGGGGGGGGGGGGGGGGGGGGGGGGGGGGGGGGGGGGGGGGGGGGGGGGGGGGGGGGGGGGGGGGGGGGGGGGGGGGGGGGGGGGGGGGGGGGGGGGGGGGGGGGGGGGGGGGGGGGGGGGGGGGGGGGGGGGGGGGGGGGGGGGGGGGGGGGGGGGGGGGGGGGGGGGGGGGGGGGGGGGGGGGGGGGGGGGGGGGGGGGGGGGGGGGGGGGGGGGGGGGGGGGGGGGGGGGGGGGGGGGGGGGGGGGGGGGGGGGGGGGGGGGGGGGGGGGGGGGGGGGGGG